TTCTGAGTGCCACTGCAACTACTATGGAAAGGCGTGTGTACCATCAGGCGCCCAACTTGTTCGTCCCTTCACATGATATTATAAAAAAAATGCTCACATTACAGCTTGGCGGCTGAAATAGGTAAGGTGGTACTTGGTGGCAGTACATCCCCGGACGAACTCTTTGACAAGGAGCTCTACTGCTTATTAAGTTGAATAACGGATAACTCACGCATCTAAGCCAAATTTCTGATCGACAAGTTTCGAACCAATTCGTGATCCTTAATCACGAGATTCCGCAGCGGCGACTCGAAGGAAACTGCGCGTCAAAGACCTGGCAGCCCGATCACTCATTACGGCTGCCGGCGCTGGCAGCGTCGGCGAGCAACTACCCTCGTTTGCTTCATTTTTTATTAATGTCATACGCAAGACTGCACATTCCACTAACAATGTCACTTTCAATCACTCAAGTAGTACCTAACATAGTTTTCGAGCAAAAATTCGACTTAAATATGTGAATTATTGTGGATGGATGTGTCGCTTACCACCACGCCCAAAACTATGTCGTCCCGTCACTTCGCGTCATAAAAAATGTTCCAAGGACGGCAAAGTAAAAAAGATGACCTAATCTTCTCTATGGTTGAGATGAATCGACACAAATTCTCTAAACTACACACATCAAAAGTGTCTAGGGATCAAGTGAATATTTTTGAAATAAAAATTATTTAAGCAATATTTACCAAATCCAGTCTTCCAGGACGACTTCTTACTTTAATGCTTATGTTTTATTTAACCGCTTACCCCTATATTTAATTAAAATAAACTAAAATTGATGTTTTTGCAAATTGTGGGAAAAAACTCAAATTAACGGCGTCAATTAAATGACAAAAAAATGGCGAAAATGATGATTTTGCTTATTTTTATTGTAAAGATAAGAAAATTAATAATCTGTATTTCCACCCTTAACACGAATCACACAATTACATCGATTTGGCATGCTTAAGATGAGTTCATCAAAATCACTTTGAGGAATGGCCGCCCATATGTTTTGTAACAAGTCAAAATATTCTTGTAGAGTATGTACGGTATGCATACTCGGCACAGCTCTTCTTTGAAGCGTATTCCATGCGTGCTCAATTGGATTGAGGTCTGGCGATTGAGCAGGCCACGGCAGAACGTTGATACGAGCTCCGGCAAGAATGCGTGTTACGACTCTAGCCGTGTGTGGACGTGCGTTGTCATGCATTAGTTGAAATGAATCACCCAACTGGCCTCGCAAATGGATGATAACATCTGAAACAATCCTCTCTGCGTAAACTTGAGCATTGAGGTTACCCCTGATCCAAATGAGATCGGTTCTTCCGCCGATCCAAATACCGGCCCATATCATTATTGTTCCCCCACCATATGGATGAACTTCCTGACAATATCTCAAACGTTCATGACGTCCAGATGTTCTCCAAACTCGAGTACGTCTTGTATCCGGTCTCATACCGAAGCGGGATTCATCCGAAAAGCACACATAGCGCCAGTCTTCTTCCTCCCAGTTTCTGTGTTCGCGAGCCCATCGTAAACGGGTCCTGCGATTGCAGGGTGCAATAGGTGGAACTCTGAGCGACCTTCGGGATCGCAGACCCACTTCACGTAAACGATTTCGGATTGTTTGATCGCTTATTAGCAAGCCTGAGGAGCTGTGGAGCCTCGTAACCAACATCATGGCGGTCATGGTACGATTCCGTCGAGCAGTATTTTGGATATACCGGTCCTGTCTGCGAGTCGTGATGCGAGATCGTCCTCCATGTCGCTCGGCCACGCTGCCCGTCATGCGATAGCGCGTCCAGAGGCGACTTATGACGCTCTGTGTTAAGTGTTAAGAGTGAAAGCCACAGCACGTTGCCTGGAACCAGCTTCCAACATTCCGACGGCTCGCATCATCACTTCTCGGGTTAAATGATGTCGTCTCTTCATAATAATGTAAATTGTTTCGGTTCCGATGCAGATATTGTAATGATTTTGTCAAAACGCTATAACTCATTTTTATACAAAACCACATTGACAATCGATTTTCTTCTTATTATCGAATTTTAAACAATATTCCTTATTTAAATGTTAAAACTCACTAAAATGTATCAATAGCGATACAAAAAAGTTAATATAATTAACCCTAATTGCAGCAATACTCTTAAACGTACTTGATCCCTAGACACTTTTGATGTGTGTAGATATGAACTCGATATTTTACGTAACAATGTCAATACGAGGCTTATCGAAGTAATCCATCGTACCACCCTGCGTCATGAGTACTTTTATATTAGTAAAAAAGGTGCAATAAAATTTTAGAACATAGAAGAATATAGAATAGAAGTGTCAAAATTTAATACCTTTTATTGTACCTATAACGATAGGCGCGATCAATAAGTATATTTCATTAATATTCAATTATTAGGAAAGGAAATTAACTTTTCGAATCTTAGGGTCGTATTCCAGAACTCTACTCATTGCTCAAGTCATAACTTGAGTATTGCAGTGAGCACTGAAAAACACACTCAAGTCCTTGCAATTAGGGTCGTATTTCCAGTGCTTGAAATCATACTTAAGTCTGCTCAAATCCTGACTTGAGCATTGAGTAGAGGATTGGGTTCGGTTATCAACTGAACTCGGTTACCAACTGAACTCAGTTATCAACTGAAGCTGTCAAACTTACAAAATAGGCCTGCTGGAATACAACCCTAAATCTCGTATATTTGTTTTTGAAACAAACCAACGCTTCGAACCCGAAATATTGGTTTGTTGTGAAAAAACAAATCTAAGTGATTTATATCCGAAGAAATATATTTCATTTCCTATGTGTAACAATCGCGAAATCCTTAGGTTTCGATATTCAATGATTAATTTCAGTTATGAAAGTTGAAGCGATGAACGATCAGAACATGATTCAGTGTTATTCTAAAATGTAATCAGCGTTAAGCAATTTATAGGCGATTGTGGTGGATTCATAAGTGTCAAAGGAAGAATTCATAAAGTATTTTCCCGTAACGCACACACTATTTCATATTTTTCTGTAAAACCCTGATAATATTAAAAACTACGACAGACAAATAAAATTGAATACGCCAATGGCGCATCGATGCATTTATCATTCCACTTATAATTTTACAATTTGTGTCACCGGAATGAAAAATCTTGTTTTACAAGTCCAATAATTTCAATTGCAAATCACATCAAAACAGTTGAACCCTCTTCGTGGAAGTTGTAGGCAATCTTTAAGATAGCACTACTGCGGATGGAATAGCATTCTTTGACAATACGACTGCAATATTCATGTAAAATATTTTTGTGAAAATACCCCACAAGTTTGTTATTATCATTGATACAAAGGTAAGGAAAAATACCTTCGATCTGACTGGACTCGAACCAGCGGTTGTTGCCACACCGGGGCAACTGCTCTTATCAACTGAGCTACAGTTCTCTGTTGTGAGTCACGAGTTTCTCTGTGTGCTTGTTGAAGATCTTTGTGTTGGATTTCATTGACGATAAAAGATCCGTTTAAACTGACGCTGGTTCGGGTCTAGACAATCCTAGGAATTTTTCTTAGGGTGCGTACGTAGCTCACGAGCTGCACACGTGCACCGCTCTCGTGCCACATATATTAACATGCACGCAAGATGAACGCGTGCAGCGCGCGTGCAGCGCATTCGCCAGGTCTGTACGCATCCTTAGTGTTGTACGATCTTTGTATATCAATAATAATGACAGTAAGTCTGCTGCAAAAAGTCTACAGCATATTTTTTCTCGTATGACATAACTCAACCGGATGAATATCATTCGTCGTGGCTCTATTTATTATTATTTTCTAAGAGGGGATACTTACTAACAAGGTCGAGTACTAATGTAATGAAATTAAAAACATCGTCGGTATTTTGCGACGCAACTGCGAGTAACTAGCGTTTTCAATTCATTAGATTACGATCTACAAGCTTGATGCCGAACATTAGATAACGTCACATACGTCGCTCTGATCTTAAGTAAGTGGCTAAAGCACTTATGTTATGGAAATTGGAAAGAATAGACAATATAGAAAAGTTACTTTTCTACATGTCGAACATGCCACGCTCCACGGCTCTTTGCGCAACTCTTATTTATACATAGCCTTCTATGACAACTGAACGTCGAACTAAGGTGCAAGTCATTGATCTAGTAACAGAGCTGACTAAGACATATTGC